AAAAAAAAAAAAGCGTTGCCCCAGGATCGGGGCATGGCTGAGGTTTGTTTGTTTGTTTGTTTGTTTGTTTGTAACTTCTTTTAATGTCTTTACGTACCCCAAGAGGCATAGGCAAATCGAAGATTTTTTAAAAAGGGATTCGGGAGCAGCAATTTGGGGCTACAGGAGTGGCAACACTCCCTCATTTCTAGCTTTCAAGGCTGGCCAACTATGCAGCTGGGGACTTTTTAAAGTCCTCACATTTGATAAGCATCCTTTCCCTCACACCCTCCACTTTGTGGCACTCCGTCCCTTTCTCTCTCTCTTCTGCAGCATCTCCCCTCCCCTACTTTTTCCTACCCCATTGTCCTCTCTACTTAATGGAGACCTGCCTGCTGTTGCAGGAGCAGCTGGGACAGCCCCACTCCAGCTAGGGCTGTGAGGAGTGGCTGTACACAGAACTAGATTCAGCCATGGATGGCAGTAGTAGTAGGCAGTTTCCCCATCCCTGCACCTGCTCCTGGACTGGCAGGGCCTATCTGGGGAGGATGGCGGGGATGACCATGCAGTGTTGGGGAACCTGCCTACTGCTGCGGTATCCCTTGACTTGGAGAACTTATGTCCAATTAAAGGGACATATAGCTAGGAGCCAAATCCTTGTTTTCAACAGGATTAGAGAACTTACATAGTTTTAAGCCTTTCTTAAGACTTGAATAATATTGCACATTAAAAATTGAGCTGTTTCTCTTCAGAAAGGGTCAGAGATGGTGCATTTTTGTGGATTACTGATGATTTTTTGATTATCTTCCCCTATAGCACTGCTTATAGCATTCTAGGAATTCTGGAGAAGTGCTTCTGAAAATTTTAGTAAATGTATCAGTCTTGTTTTCTTAAGTGCTTAAGAGCCTAAAATTCTATGAAAGTCAAAGGGGTTTAGGCTCCTAACTCATGTGGATATTTAAATGTTTTTAAAGTATGTTTTTCTTATTGCCAGTTCCTTATTCCTTTTTTACCCCAGCCCCATCCATCACAAATGATATATAGAACATTGGTTAATTCTGAATCTAGGATGGTGGCAGAAGGTAGCTGCAAAATGGTTCAAGCAACTTTGTGAAATTATTCTCATCTAGCTCCTAGTACACGTTTATTATAGAAATTGTGATCTGAATTAGTACTTATTAGCAGTTTTGGCCAAGGAGCTAAGAATCCAAATGCATGTAGACTGAGCTACCATAAAGTGATCTGCCCAGGTGTTTGTATGTACTGCTGTCTGACTTGTACAAAGTAGTTTCTAGTGCTGTCAATTGGAGGGAATAAAAACACGGGGAAGTAACTGCATCTGACAAGTCACTTTCTCATTTAGGAATGGATTCATGTTAAATGTAAGACACTGTTAACTACAGAATTGGGCCTGACGGGTAAACAATAGATTTCTGCTTCCTGTTGTTTAGAGAGGAAGAAAAGTCTGTGCTGTGTGTGATTTGCTGGATGATGATCTAGAAAAATAAAAAGGAAATGTTTTGCTGCTTAGTATTTTTATTTTATTTTACCAATGAATAGTGGCTTGTAACATCTTACAACTTCTCATATTTGACTGTAGGTATTGTATAGCAGTGCTCTTTTTCATAGCAATCTCTTAAATTCCATTAAAATGCTAGAATTGGAATTCTGTGGCATATCAAATAATCCTAATTGTCCCTTCTGGCTTGAATCTGTGAATCCTTAATTTTAGGTCATGCTTTATTAATCAGTGGTCAGGATTGCTGCTTGCTACCTTACCAGGTATAGAGGAACTGCCCGGTGGCAGATATATTGCCTTAAATGTCACTTTTTTACAGAACTGTCTATCCTAGATAGGATTCTTCTGGAGTGAATTATGAACGGTTTAAAAAGCCTTTTTCCTCCCCCTTATTTTTTTCAATTTCCCTCTCTTAATTTATTTATAGATTCAGATGTATCAGCTGTCAAGACTTCTCCATGATTATCACAGAGACCTGTACAACCATCTTGAAGAGAATGAAATTAGCCCCAGTCTGTACGCTGCACCCTGGTTTCTTACCTTGTTTGCTTCTCAGTTTCCATTAGGATTCGTAGCCAGAGTATTTGGTAAGAGAGATTGCTTTATTGCAGTACTGAGCCTTGTACTTGTAGGCAGAGTTGTCCAACCGATGGCCTGTAAAGAGTTAATCTGTGGCCCTAGGTTTCCCTTGGCAGTTGCTGCTCCCCTCACTGCTCAGGCTGTTGTTACAGCTAGGATCTCCAGGCTTCCCCTTCCTTTTCTGGCTCTCTCTTTGTGCCCCTGCCCCAGGTAGGACAGGGCAGCACTACTTGGTACAGCTTACAGTGCAGGGGAAGCCCACAGTGCAATGCAAGTGGGGAAATCTGCATCCAAAGAGATAGTGGGGGGGAAGAGAGCATGCCTTGTTCTGAAGTGAACAAGAATAACTTGAGGCAATTGGGCTTGGAAATGGGGAAGGATACAGCTGAAGTGGTTGTGGGGCAGGGGGAGAGCAGTGCCTGCCCATAGAGTGCTGAAGGAGCTTGCCGCCAGGCAAGGAGGGGAATGACATCTGCATTCTCTGCCATGTGAAGCCTCGTTACTAAGAAGTTGGAAAGCCCGGTTTTAAGGAAAAATGTTTTGTTTTGTTTTTTACCTTTACCTACTTCCATTAAAAGGTAAATTTGCAACAATTTATTTTAGCTCTCAGCTCCAGTTAATTTGATTTATTTTGGTGTAGAATTTGAGCATCAAACTGAGTTAAGTGGCAGAGTTGTTCCATTAGCTGCTAACTTAACAGTATACAGATCTAATTGCATAAACTTTTAGGGGTGACTTGTAGTACAGTTTTTAAAAGCATTTCCTTCCTTCTGAATATCAAACAGCAGATACTTAACCCAGTAGCAATGATCATTTCATCCCATATGTCTAGTTAGAGATCAAGCCCCCAGTGTTTGTGTATCTGAAGAGGTCCATCCTTTTTTAATGAAACTTTCAAAGAGTCTGTTTATTAATATGGGAAAAATAGGATTAAGCATTCTGGGGGGTTTGCTGAGTGTTTGATTAAACTAAACCTTTTAAATGCAGGATTTGTATAATATGCTTAGGGCCCTTCTACACTGCAGTAAAGGCACAATTGGAATTAATGCATGATCCACCCAGCTGTACCTCCTACCATGCCACACATGTATGAGTACTCTTAACTTTCTTTAGATAGTCCTATAGGGCCTTTTCCACTCCTTGGACAAGTAGTCCCAAGGAGTAAGTATATACAGGATCAAGATGGCAATGATTTTTGTATGTTACTAGGAAGACTAACTTCAAATTTCTTTCACCAAATGACTTAACTATTTTTCATGCAGCATTTTGGTTTGTGTAAAATAGCTAACAAGAAACTTCTTTCACAATCTGATGCATCTTAAATGGGAATTTCTCTCAGTTTTTGCCTTGTAGCTTTTATGAAGCACTTTTTCCATTTCCTATATTTTACAGTTCCTCCATTATTCAAGGTCATAGCTTTTTTCTTATCCTTCTGTTTCATAATTTTTTGTGGATTCTCACTCAACCATCTAAGTCAAATTTGTATTCTTCCATTCTTCTTGCTTTTGTACCAAAAAGAGTCTTCACTTGCATGTCTTCTCCCCCGCCCCCCGCTCCAATATGGGGGCAAATTAATAGGGGGTTTCATTTTTTTAAATGGAAATGATAGTTTTAAAGCTTATATTAATCTTAGCTTTGAGGGTAGCAATGGTAGTTGCTGAGTGTTTCAAGGGGGTGGTGGTTACATTTTTGCTGCTAGAAATAAGTGTTCAAGAATTCCAGTTTTATTTTGCTTTTTGTTTTAAGGTTTTTTGTCTTATTGCTTTGGTAGATGTGAAATTGGGAAACTGTCCTTTCTGAGGGAGAATTGTGGCTTATCATTCTTGTTAAATAAACACAGCTGGGTACATCATCTAGATTTACAACAAAAATATTTCCAGAAGCTGTTTTAGCTCCTGATACTGCAATCTGATATGTTCAGACAAACTTCTGCACCCACTTGGAGCCAGTTGATTCCTCTGGGACCACCTGGATCCACTCAAGTTGATGATAAAAGCTTTGTTGATTTTTGAAGTCAGGGTTTTTCCATATGGGTGTGTGGATCGACCTGTGCTGATCAAAATAAGAGAATTGAAGGCAGAGTCTAGGATATTTAGCATTCTAATAAGATTACTTTCCAGTAACTAAGTAGGATTTTAGCTATCTGTGAACAGTAGAGTAAAACCAGTGTAACAGAATAAGAGTTTTACTTCATTTTAGGATCAGCTCCCAATAAAGTGTGAATGGCATGTGTTGGTCTTGTGTTTTGGTTTAATATTTCTTTAATGCAGACTGTACTCAAATGCCTTTCACAATGTCTTAAACTGCAACACCCAAAACTAAGTGTTTGGTAAACATGACATCCTTTCAGCTAAAGAATTGCAGCATTGAAAATACAACATTTTTGTTTAACACTCGTGATGAAAATTATCCTTTTTTTTTTTCCAATAATGAAGAAAACCTAGTTAAAATAACAAGACAAAGCAAGTATTGATCATTTTCCTTCTTAAAGTTATCAAATTTCAGTAAATTTTATAAGGAATATATATTCCACTACAAACATTTAAAGAAAAAAAACCTGCTTGACTTCAGCTTTTTGCCTTTGGATACTTACAAAAATTATTATTTTTTAGACATTATTTTTCTTCAAGGAACAGAAGTCATATTTAAAGTAGCGCTGAGTCTACTAAGCAGCCAGGAAGCACTTATAATGGGATGTGAGACCTTTGAGAATATTGTTGATTTCCTTAAAATCACTATCCCAGACATGACTCAGTCTCAAATGGAAAAGATTATTACCCAGGTAAAACAGCTTTTCTATTTTTTGTTTTACTCTTCTTTTTTTCCATGTGACTTATTTAGATATTAACCTACAGGTGAATACAAGGTTCTTTTTAAAGACATCTTTCTTAGTTACTGTGACACTAAATTCAAGCAGTTGTCTTCTGAGTTGTCCTAACCCATAAGTTGCAGGTACAATTTTTGGAGTTTTGGAAACCTCTAGTACTTTGAGACTACTTCCAGTAAAGGACTTAAGTACTGTAGCACCTCCATGTTTTAGGCCTCCTGGAGTGGAATCCAGAATCCTTGGTTATGTACCGTGTAAGGAGCATATGTACCAAAATTAAATGCCTGGGAATCATAGAAAATTAGGGTTGGAAGAGACCTCGGGAGGTCATCTAATCCAACCTCCTGCTTAAAGCAGGACCATCACCAACTAGATCATCCTAGCCAGGGCTTTGTCGAGCCGAGCCTTAAAAACCTCCAAGGATGGAGATGGGGGTGCACTGATAAAGACTTTTGGCCAATACTAATGGTTGATTACTAACCAGCCATATTGGCCGATACCAGTCCGATAGCTGATATGCAGCCCAGCAGCTTGGGCAATAGTGTCAAGCGGGGAGGGGGGGGGGAGGGAGGGAGCATGGGGGGCAGATGGAGGCTCCCACAGTGAGGGAAGGGAGTGGAGCGGGACAGGTGCTGCCCAGCCAGGGCAAGGCGTGTGACAGCTGCAGGCAGCTCATCTAGGGGACATGGGAGGGTGGGGAGGGGGAGCAGCTCCTGTCACTGCACACACCCCTGGGGGAGGCATGGGGGGGCATGTGCCCCCCAGATGTGTGGGATGAGGGCAGGCTGATTGATATGGGTTTGGGGCCAGAGGCTGCATCAGCCTCTTACCAGTGGTGCTCAGAGAAGGCAGCGGCAGGGCAGGTGGTGGCAGTGCTGAGGGAGGCTACAGGGAATTTTGTGGTGGCTGTAGCCCACCCTTTGGCCGCTCTCCCAGCACTGCTGCTGCCTGACCAATCCCCCTACTGGGAAGAGACCAGTACAGCCCCTGGCCTTGAGCCCATAGCAGGCAGCTTGCCCTCTCCCCATGCAAAAATCCAGGCTCCCTGTGCCTTCCCCCAGGGGGGTGCGCAGCAGCAGGAGCCTCCCTTCCCCTCCTCCTCCCCTGGGCTCTCTGGATGAGCCTCCTGTGGCTCCTATCATGTGCCCTAACTCGGCAGCACCTGCCCCAGCCCAATTCCTTCCCTCACTGTGCCCTGCCCCCCCGCCACACCCCTTCCTCCTCCCAGACTTACTGGCCAGTCACTGCTCTCTAAGCTGCTGGACTGCATTCCTGACTCTGTGCATGCTGCAGTTGAGTGCATGCACGTGGCATTTATTGGTGACATTATGGGCCACACTGGCCAAAAAAGCAGATTTGCCGATTTTAACGTCGATTTTCCTGTTTTATCAATGCCACTTTGATATGGACCAATATATCAGTGCATCTCTAGATCTGGGGATTCTACAAGTTCTCTGGGTAACCCATTCCAGTGCTTCATCGCTCTCCTAGTGAGAGTTGTTTTTCACAATATCCAACCTAAACTTCCCTTGCAGCAACTTGAGACCATTGCTGCTTCTGTCATCTGCCACCCCTAAGAACAGTCTAGCTCTATTGTCTTTAGAGCCACCCTTCAGGTAGTTGAAAGCTACTATCAAATCCCCGCTCAGTCTTACCTTCTCCAGACTAAATAAGCCTGTACCAGTGCATGGGATTGTGTCCTAACTGCAGGACTTTGCACTTGTCCTTGTTGAACCTCATGAGATTCCTTTTGGCCCAATCCTCCAATTTTGTCTAGGTCACTCCGAATCCTATCTACTGCTCCCCCACGCTTGATGTCCTTCGAACTTGCTGAGGGTGCGCTCCTTCCCATCTTCCGGGTCATTGAAGATACTGTGCAAAAACTGGCCCCAGGACTGACCCCCGAGGCACTACAATTGATTATGGCTGCCAACTAGACATCAAGCCATTGATCACTACCCATTGAGCCCAATGATCCAGCCAGCTTTCTGTCAACCTTACTGTCCATTCACCCAACCCATACTTTCTTAGCTTGCTTGCAAGAATGCTGTGGAAGACTGTATCAAAAGCCTTGCTGAAGTCGAGGTATATCATGTTTTCTGTTCTCCCCACATCCAGAGAGCTTGTTATTTCATCATAGAAGGCAATTGGGTTGGTCAGGCATGACTTGCCCTTGGTGAATGAATGCTGACTGTTCCTAATCACCTTCTCCTCCAAGTCCTTAGAAGTGGATTCTTTGAGGACCTGCTCCTTTATTTTTCTGGGGACTGAAGTGAGGCTGACAAGTCTGTAGTTCTCTGGAGTGTTTTTTCCCTTGTTAAAGATGGGCACTATATTTGCCCTTTTTCCAATCATTCAGGACCTCCCCCAGTTGCTATGAGTTTTCAGAGATGACGGCCAGTAACTGCAATCACATCAGCCAACTCCCTCAGATGCACTGCATCTGGCCCCATGGTCTACTATACATCCAGTTTTTCTAAAGGAGTACTTAGCCTGTTCTTTCACCACTGAGGGCTGCTCACCTTCTTTCCAAACTGTGGCCCGGTGTAGTCTGGGAGCTGGCCTTGGCTGTGAAGACCAAAGGTAAAAAAAGTATAGAGTACTCCAGCCTTTTCCTTGTCATGTCATTAGGTTTCCTCCCCCATTCAGGAAGGGACCCGCGCTTTCCCAGACCTTCCTTTTGTTGCTAACATACTTGTAGAAACCCTTCTTGTTACCCTCCAGGTCCCTTGCTAGCGGCAAACTCTATGTGCCTTGATCTTCCTGCATGCCCTATTTTCATCCCTGCATGCCCAAGCAATATTCTTATACTCTTCCCTAGTCATCTGTCTAAGCTTCCACTTGTAAACTTGCTTTTGTCTTTAAGCTCATTGAAGAGTTCTCTGCTAAGCCAAGCTAGTCACTTGCCACACTTGCTATTCTTCTTGCACATTGGGATGGCTTGTTCCTGAACCCTCAGTAAGGTTTCTTTTCAAGTTCAATCAGATCTCCTGGACTCCTTTTCCCCTCAGGCTGGCCTCCCAGGGGATCCTGCCCATCAGTTCCCTGAGAGAGTCAAAGTCTGCTTTTATGAATTTCAGGGTCCTTACTCTGCTGCTCTCCTTCCTTCCTTTCCTCAGGATCATGAACTCAATCATTTCATGGTCACTGCTGCCCAAATTGCCATTAGCTTCTACATCCCCCACCAATTCTTCCCTGTTTGAGCAGTATCTCAAGAAGAACACAGCCCCTAGTTGGTCTCTTGAACACTTGACCAGGAAGTTATCTCCAATGCTCTCCAAAACCTTCCTGGATTGCCTATGCACAGCTGTATTGCCCTCCCAGCAGATGTCAGGGTGGTTTTTTGGGGTTTTTTTTTTGGTTTTGGGGTTGTTTTTTTTTAAGTTCCCCATGAGAACCAGGGCCTGTGATCTGGAAACTTCTGTTAGTAGTTTGAAGAAAACCTCATCCTCCTGGTCTGGTGGTTTATAGCAGACATCCACCACAACATCACCCTTGTTGCTCTCCCCTCTAACCTAGAGACTTTCAACAGGCCTGTCTCATTTCATACTAGAGCACGGAGCAATCATATGGCTTCTACATAATGTAACTCCTCCTCTTCTCCCCTGCCTGTCCTTCCTGAACAGTTTGTACCCATCCATGACTGTGCTCCAGCCATGCAAGCTAACCCACCAAGTCTGTTATTCCAATCACGTCCTAGTTCCTTGACTGGGCAAAGACTTCCAGTTCTTCCTGCTTGTTTCCCAGGCTCTCTGCATTTGTGTACAGACACTAGCCAATTGCCCTGCTTTCTCAGTAAGAATTAGGAGGCCTCCTCTGCCTGCTCCTGTTTTTGTGCTCCCTCCAGGTCTCCCACTTACCGCAGTGGTGGCTTAAATAAATTGCATGCCAAGGAGGAAGCCATCTAGAATTAGCCATTGAGAAGCATGGGGTATGTTTGAAATCCTGTACCTTTCTGGAATTTAGGTGCCTGAGTCTGCTACAGGTAGACCCCTCAGTTTTCTCAGGGTTTAGGGTCCAGAATCTTTTCCTTAAAATAGGGACCTACATCTGTTCTTTCAGAGACCTGAGCAGGACCGAACTCTTCCTTTTGAAACTGGTAGTGGTAGTAGTAATGGTGTTTCTGCTGATCTCTTTATATAACATCCAGTGGTTAGCAAGCTTGTCCAGGGCACTGGTGGGTTCATTGCCTCAGCCTGAGACATTTTGAATTCACAAATTCAATCTCTTAGAGGAGTATGAGCCAAGCTGGGATAGGGTCCCTTCAAACTGAGGCAGGCATTGAATTGAATCTCCCATTTCCTGGGTAAGAGTACTAGCCACAACACCAGTGGTGTTCAACTTGTGTACTGTGGGCTGGATCCAGTCTGCAGATGTTCCCACAGCTCTAGAAATTTGGTGACGGAAGTGGTGGCAAGTTTTATTGCTGTAGCTGTGGGAACTTGCACGCTGGCCTGAGCTAGTTAGTTTGAGCACCACTGCACTAAACCATTATATAAAGGAAAAAGGTGTCAGCGCTACATATTATGAGGAGCCTGTGTCTGTTCTTCTCAGAGAAGGCATATCAGATCAGGCTCTTCAAAGGACTTGGAAGCAGAGATGTATCTAGTCCCTGAACTCAGATTAGTTTTAACCAAGGAATGTGCATCAAACTGCTCATACTGGGGCAGTTCCAGGCATGCACAGAAGAACTCTTGAGGCCCAAATCCTAAGTGCTACTTAAGTAGCAATGTAAGAGGCATTTTTGCCACCTCATCAGTATTTTTCCTGCAGGTGACAAATCTAACATAAGCCTTGTAGAGTCAACCTTTTAACCAAACTTTACATGAAATGTAATGCTATCTGTTGTAGCAAAACTAACTTGTCTTTCATGATTAGGTTTTTGAGATGGATATTTCCAAGCAGCTTCATGCCTATGAAGTAGAGTACCATGTACTACAGGATGAGCTACAGGAAGGTGCAAATCCTTGTGGTGATGGTGAACCTCTAGAAAAACTGGAGAGGGCAAACAGTCAGCTAAAGAGACAAAACATGGACTTATTGGAGAAGCTACAGGTAAAGGGCCATAGATTATTGGGTGAAGTAAAGAAACTTCCTCTTTTCTCTCCCCCCCCCCCCCCCCAACAATTCAAACACCATGTTTTTGTTTCTGTTCATGTAACTGATTTGTTTGTAAACTATTTACTAATTTATTTGTTTAGACTATAGAACTAGACTCTAAATGCACTCACATGCCTTGTATTTATTTAAGCCTTTTTTTCTTTAGCCCATTTGTAATATCATAAAAATGTTATACAAGAGGTCTCCTTTTGCCTGAAGCTTCTTTTCCCTAAATATCTATGGAGTATATCCATCCCCACCTCCTTTTATCTCTCGGCTAGATAATACATCTTGAACTCTTTCATCTCTGTCCAGCCTTTATTTTGTTTCTCGGAATTCCCTTCAGCTGTAAAGATCTTTTTGGCAGTCAAAAAGGTCACTGTATTCCAGTTGTAAATGCAGAGGTATACAGATAGGATGCTTTTCTTCCATACTCTGCTTACAGACCATGGTCATCTTGGGTCTTACATGACAAACAGAGCACAGCAAAACTTAACCATCAGATGCGTACTATCAACTCTCACCCCCAAGATGACCTACAATAGCTTAATTCTCTGTGAAAGTGGAATACTGGTAGTTAGTTTCTGCTTTTAATGCATGCATGCATGCATACAGACAGTGAAATGTAAGCAATGAAGTTCTACTTCCATGGATGTCTGTCCTTATTCTGACCATCTTGCATGGTAATGTCAAGTGATCTTTATTTTTATTTTTTACAGGTAGCTCATGCTAAAATTCAGAGTCTGGAATCCAACCTAGAAAATATTTTGACTCGAGAGAACAAAATGAAGAGCTTAATCCAGTCCTTGGAGCAGGAGAAAATTGCTTATCAAAATACTCTTGAGCAAATAACTAAACATCTGCCAGCAGAAACACTGTCTAACTGTGAACTGCTTCTCAAGGAAGTAAACTGTAACCCAAACAATTAAGCAAAGCAAGGAAATAAGCCATAAATAAGTTGTGGGCAGCATAATTTCAAGTAATTAAGGGAAAAAAAACAGCGTGCTGCTTTAGGAGGACTCAGAAAGCAATAGGTAATGGTGTCGCCCAAAACTGGTATTGGGACACCGAATAGCAGCAAGTTGGCCTTTTAAATCTCAGTATGCAAATCCAGGCTATTAAAAATAGTTGTTGTGTTTTTTTTAAATGCTTGTGTAAATAAATCACAATGGGAGAATATATTTCTCAAACTAATTATGACAAGTAGATGTATATTTAGAGTTGATTTAAAGGTCAACATCACTAAAAGAGAAGAGGGTGGTAAATTAAAACTAGATGCGCACGCTCTCCATTTTTGCTTTTTTTTTCTTTTTCTTTGGTCTGGTAGTGAAATGAGGGTATTGTGTCTTATATATATATATTGAATAATACTTGAAAAAATGAATGTATTTTCCTCCAAAGAACAGCATGTTTCACATGTTTTGTGGAAAATCTATGTAAAATTCATGTGTGCCTGTCATTCATTCTACTGACTGTGTGTGTGGGTGTGTGAGATAACAAAGGATGGCTGTTGCTATGAGGTTCTTACAGGGAGAATTATGCCATACACTGCCTGGAATGTGCCAGTCAGCAAGTTGCTTCCGCATGCACGTTGCAACAAAGATAAGCATCATGTCACAGCTAAGTGTAAGTAACTCCAAATAGGTCATAAGATCCCAAAGTGGCTTACCTTGCTTCTTCCCTCTTCCACACTCTGAGTTTGGTAGTAGTTGAAGGAAGAAAATGAAGCTCCAGAGTAGTCTCCATTTGGACTTTTGTTTCCTGCGAGTGACTTGCTGTGGTCGCATGTTTAAAACTTACGTGGGGGTTTCAAGTCACCAGAGGAACCTTTTAAGAAATCTTTTAAAAAAACTCTTTTGGAAGGTCTGTGAACTCTTTGATAATTTTGGGGAATAAGCGCTAACAATTTTCAGGGACTTGACTCTGTAAAAGGATAGGGAGAGGATTTGTCAAATTTTCAGGGACTTGACTCTGTAAAAGGATAAGGAGAGGATTTGTCCCTTTTTTTTTTAATTTCCCCCCTTCTGTCCCCCCCAAATACTTTGAACAAAAAGGTACATAATATTTGTTTGAAATACAGGTTTGAAATGTGATACTGAAGTATAAATACAACTTAATTATTTTTAGGCTATTTCTGTCTTGTTATCACCACTTGGCAATCACTTTTAATGCATCATAAGCAGATCTGTCCTAGACAGAAGAAGAAATGTCCCAGTCAATTCGTTCAGGCAAAGTTTAGTTGCATCTGTCAATGGGCAGTAAACTAGATGCCTGCAGATTTGATAAAGTTATTTTTTTGATCAGTGTAATCTTCAAGAAGACATATTTGGATGTAGTAGACATGTATTTTGTACATGCACATCTCACTTGTTACTTGAGTGTTACAGTGGATCGTATTATCTGACCAGGTATGTGATTTCCACCCCCACCCAAGAAATTCTGGTCTTTCTTTTTTTATATATATAAAAGGAAATAGAGCAAATTCAGCCCAAGTGTCTTTATGTATAAAAAAAAAAATTGTCTGATTGGAAAGCAAGTGCTGGGTGTAACTGCTTTCTATATAATGTACTTTATGTTAATAGATACAAAAAAGGAACAACTAAGCTGGTTTGCTGCATATTGCTGCAGTATGTAGGTTTTTTCCTTTCATGGTGGTTTTCTCATAAATATGGCTATTGAATGAGTTCTGTCTTTTGTATTACAGTTGGAGTGAAAGATCTTGCACTGTATCAAATTTATGTGGAATCTGTCTTGGTATTTCAATAATGTTGCATTTGTACCAAATGGAAAAGATCCAAGTGGAAAAAGCAGTTGTTTGCAGTTTTGTTAAAAGTAAGTTTTGGCCAATGTGTATGTGCTGAACCAATCGCAGGGAACTGTAGTAGTGTATTACAAAGATCAAGGTTATTCAGATACATATATAACATTTTTAGGTGCACTGAAATGTGCTTTATCCTCTGTTTCACTTATATCAAGTTTTTGTTGTAATGCCTGTGGAAATTTCCAATAAATGTCATTGATGCATTTCTCATGGCTTCTGATCAGCTGCTTTTGTCCTCCTCTTCTAGCATGTCCTTCATTCTAAACAATTCTGCTTCTATAGAAAAATAAAGGACTTGCCTACTTTGTAGGTATGGGGAAAATAGGATTTATAAAGGATATGGGGAACCTCCCAGTAAATTGGTATTGTTTTATAGCCAAAGTAGGCAAAATACAGGAGAAAACATGAACAAGTTTTTAATGTTTGCTGCTTCACGAACAATCAAAAGGGAGGAAAGTCTACCTATTTTAGACTTGTACTTCAGTGTGTTATTGCAAATGGAATTGTGCAACCATGGTCCAATGCAGGAGAACCAAAAACTAAAACTAGTTATTTCATTTTTAATAAGATCAGCAACACGCAAATTGTAAACGAAATAAGTACAGTAGGCTTCCTAAAACTAGGCTTTCTAAATAAAGGTGGTCAACCTTTTTCGATACCCATGCCACTACTGGCATGGGAAGCCCCTGTTTGTGGTATGCAGCAGATGTGGGAGGGGGTAGGCAGTATAGTTGCATAACAGACAGGGAGCAGAAAACAGAAAAGCAGATTGGTTAGGGAGCACACAGCAGAAAAAAGCAGCAGGTTCAGGGTGGGGGAGCAGAAATCAGAGCAGCTGATCAGGTAGGGGAGGAGATTGGAGTGGCTCTTGGAGGGCATGGGGCTAATTTGTGGCATACCTGCCAAAAAAGCTGGCCCCCACTGAGCTACAACAATAGTGGTGTTTAGCTCTATCATTTTAAATGTCCTCTCTTACATTTGTATAAAACAATGAAGGGCTGATGCATGCAGCAGAACAGAATTTTTCCCTGGATTCTTTAACAGTGTGTTCCTATGCGCCAATAGCACTAGATTCTGCAGCATGTAGTAAGATCTAACTTAGGCCCTTGAGCACATTCCTTTATAGTGTGATGGGATTTCATCCTCAATCCCAATATTTGCTCCTCCTATCAAACCAGGTATGCATGCCAGGAGGCTTGATTACTTTTTGGGTTTTTTTTCATTTGGGATCAGGAATCGGAGCCCAATTATGCTCTTACTATTTGCCAGTGCACAGGGAGCCAGGATCATAATCCTGGGCTCATCTTTTACCAGTAAACTGGGCAAGAGCCAACAATCGGATGATTGTCAATTCTGATGCTGGTGAAGTTGAGGGACTGACAGTCAGCTGATTGTTGGCCCCAGTCCTAGACAGCCCCAGGTTCAGATCATGTCCTGGGGCTAACCATGCTGAAGCCAGCCATCAGCTAACTGTCAAAACCTCATGCCCAGCAGCTCTGGCCAGGCTGCTGGGCATGGCGGGGATCAGGCTCCTGGTAGGGAGAGCTAAAAAGGCTCTTTTTGTCTTTTTCCTCCCATTCCTTCCCTCCTCGGAACTTTTAAACTTTGCTGGGAGCCTCCCATCCCCCATGCCTGGCAGCTCCATATAAGTAGCATGGGGTTTCAAGATCTCAGTAGGGCAAGCATCCCAAGGTACTCCTCCACTCCACCCAAAATTGGCCCATAGCCTTGGCCCAGGGCCAAAAAACAGCTCATTGTCAGCGCTGCCCACATGTTTAATTTTTAAGGCATTATACAAACTAGTCATAAAAACTTTCAACATTGTATGCAAGAGACAAGGATTTGAGGGGTGATTGTTTTAGTACCTGATGAAGAATTTCTTGCATTTTAAAGCTTGTTTAACTTCACTCCAACCATGAAGTTGGTCCAATAAAAGAGATCACCCCAAAAAGTCCTTGTGTCTTGCCTAATTCCTGGAACAGGACAGCTATAACATCACTCTTAACACTACTACCACATTATATGTGGAACACTTTTTTATGGATCATTTGTAACTGTATGAAGCCTGAAATTGGATGTATGGATAGCACCCCTGCCAGTCATATTGTGAATAGTCCATTAATTGTGGCATAAATGTAATGCCCCAATTATTTCAGCTGGAGGGCTGCTTACTGAGTTTTGGTGAGCTGTTAAGGGCTGCATGGGTATCCCTGCCCCTTGACAGTTGCCCTGCCTGCAGTTGCCATATTGGGACCGGGCATCCTGCCCCCGCAACACCTGACTTTTGCCCCTGTAAGTCCCTCCCCTTGCCCCAAAGCACTCCTTTTGGGAGGGAGGGTGTTGTAATCATGAAACTAGAAAAAAAAACAAATCTTGTATTTAAAAACAACAAAAAAACTACTATAACTTATTTTAATTCTATTTAAAAGTATATTTGTACTGATTTATGTGTTTGTGGAGTGTATTTAGAGGTGATTGCATAATAGCTCAAAATACAGTTCTATTGTATATTGTGTGTGGATGGTAAGGGGGTATATGTGGAGAAGTGTGTATGTGTGGAGAGGTGTGGGGTATCTGGCTGGGGTGGGGGCTGTGGAATGGGTGCGGGATTATGGTGGGTGGGGTGAGAGAGACTCACAGAGGCGGGGCCAGGCTGCTGGCCATACTCCCTGCCGCTCTTGCAGGCTGTGGAAAACCTTATGGGATGCAGACCACGTGCCCAGGTTCTGTGCTCCTGCCATCCCGCCCTGGGTCCCCGCTGGACCCAGGGCACCGGCATGGGCTCCATGCTCCCGCCTGTCACCACCACTGCTGCCATTGCTTGCCAGCCGCCACCACTCCCTGCTGCTGCCTCCATTTCTTGCAGCCCCTGCTGTTACCCTCACCACCACCACTTTCTGCAGCCCCTGTCACCCCCCATGCTGCTGCCACTACCCACACCCCTACTTCCCTCTGCCCTCCTGTCTGCTGCTTCCCACTATGCTCCTCCCCCCCAACCCACTGCTTCCAGCTCTGGCTCCAGCCTGTCCTGGCCAGCACCATGCAGCTCCCAGCTGCTGGGCTTATTGCAGCAGTTTCCCCAGGTTCCTCTGCCCAATCTTCTCTTACTTTCCACATGGATGGAGGGAGGCAGGGAACAGCCCCAGCATCACAAGGCCAGAAGCCACAGAGTCTTCTGGTTGGAGGCTGGGGTGGAGGGCTAAGGGTGGGGTGGAGTCAGGCAGGCCTTGCTGCTCAGCTGCTGGGTCCTGCTACTGCTGGCTGCTTGTCATCTTTGACAGGCAGCCAGGGCAGATAAAAATTAATTCCCTAAAATTTTTACGGGGACCACAAGCCAGATAGATAGAATGGCCTGGCAGGCCATATCTGGCCCATGGGCCGTATTTTGCCTATCCCTGATGTAATGTGTAGAGGGAGCCTTTAATATTTGTGCCTTTTTCACAAAAAGGCTTCCCTAAATGGGGCTGGGAAATACTTAAATGGACTTTTGATGGAGACTTATCCAACTGTTAGGAGTGGGGGAGGGAAGATGATCAAACAAAATTTATTAGAAGATTATTTTAAATTAATGTTTTGATTTTGTTTTTAATGTATATGTTGTTTTTCATATTGTTTTACCTCCTTTCTTTTTTTTAGTAAACAGTGTGGCAGAACCCGAGTTCATATTTTGGATACAAATATTTTAATCTGGTTCAAAAGAAGATTAGATAATTTTGTGCAGGATAGGTCCATCAGAAGATATTAAACAAGGTTATGGTCACAAGCTGAAAGTTAAAGTTTCTAGGCCTCTAAATGCTGGAAGCTGCAAGGACAGGCAAAGATCAGTCAGGACAGATACTACATAAATAACCTTCTGCTTAGCAGCTGCTCTGTGCCACTTTAAGATACAGAATACTGGACAAGATGGACCTGTTCTCTTGCCCAGTGTGGCCACATTTAGTTTCTCCTGTGAGTGCAGATCATGCTGAGATGTGTGCACAGGGGCCCTGGCTGCTCAGCATCAGCACTGCAAACTCTCTGCTCGTCAAGGGCTCAGCATTTGAATATCTATTCAGGTGTCTCTGGGTAAGTTTTCATACCAGGAAAACGAACCTTAGAGAAATCTCCCGGATTATTTGAATAGGCATATAC